TGACGATCCCCAATTGATAGCTAATAGTTTTGCTGACTATTTTTCCAAATCCTTTACGGTACCAAGCATGATAATTAATAATTATATCTTTTCATCAGCATCATCAAATATTTCTATTAGTCAAACTGATGTTATTAATGCCATTAAAAGAATTAAACTTACTATGACTATGGGCCCAGACTTAGTTCCTTCATTTTTGGTTAAAGATTGTACTACTGCTCTGGCGGAACCACTTCCGTTTATTTTTAACTTAATCCTTAATTCATGTTATTTTCCCGATCTTTGGAAACTGTCCGGAATATGCCCCATTTATAAAAAAGGTGAAAAACTTGAACTTACCAATTATAGGCCTATTAGTATTATCTGTAATTTTGCCAAGGTCTTAGAAATTATTCTTCATAACTTCATTTATAGTCGGGTTTCAAATACAATATCGATTGAACAACATGGCTTTATGAAGAACAGATCAACGGTTACTAACTTGGTCACAAAATGTCAATACATAGCTGAAAAGCTTGACAGTCAGAGTTAAGTGGATGTTGTGTATACTGATTTCTCTAAGGCGTTCGACAGACTCGACCACGGAATTTTATTGGATAAATTAACAGCGTTTGATCTCAGCATACCAATGATTAATTTGTAAAAGTCGTATCTGCAGAATAGATACCAATTTGTTCAATTCCGGGGGTATAAATCTGAAAAGTTTCAGCAGAGGTCGGGTATACCACAAGGATCTATTTTGGGCCCGTTATTGTTCGTAATGTTTATTAACGACATAATTCGTGTTTTCTACCCGAAGATTACAGACTAATATACCCCCAGTATCAAGTCAAACCCCTCAGCCAGCTGACGTCTCAAATAAAGAAGCAGAAGATGATATGATAGACTCTGAAAACGCTATTGATCTTGATACGGAGGCGACAATACTAATAGTGAAGTACAAGAATTAGAAGTCAACAAGGGGGCTAGTAAAAAAAATCCGTTACCTGGTATTACTGCGAAGTCTTCTAAAAAACCTATCATGACAACAAAAAGAAAAATTGATAAGACGGATACTATAGGAAATATTCTTTTATTGGAACAAAGGAAAGTTGAAGATTTGGAAAAAATGCAAGGAACTAAAGACACATCTGAAGAACCCAATAAGGATGAATATTACTACTTTCTTATGAGTTTGATACCACATCTTCGTGATATCCCCAAAAGAAAGAAGCTTGCAACAAGTTGTAATGAATGAGGAAGAAACAGATGTACCAAGCTGCAATGCATCTGTCTCATCGTAGACTTATAACTATGGGCTACCATGTACAACTCAATCATCAAACCCAGGAGAAGTGAGTCAAAATTCACTGGTCTTATATGTAGAAACCTTTAGTCCACAGTACCATAGCATGTGATTAATATAATTGTTTTTATTTTTTATTCAGTTTGTGCATTAATAAGCAGTATTTGTTTGTTTTTATATAATAAATAAAAATTATATATTTATTTTAATTAAAAAAAAGTTTAAAACTTACCTTATTGTTACTGCGAGCCGTTCTTCTGGAGAAATACATGTTCTAAAATTGTCATATTTTTCTATATACGGTCTTATTCTACTTAGTAGGTACCAGAACGTATCAGGTTGCATTCTGAAGTATTCAAAAAAATTGCTTGGTTGCTTAAGAATCTTTGGAAACAACGTATGAAACTCGCCATGCTGTTCTCTCTCCGTAAAAATTGTATTTATCCATTCACTTTTATCATCCTCTAACAGCAATATACGCAGCTACGGGTTTTCCAACAACATTACTTCATACATGCGGTGTGACCACAAGTTCGGCATAACAAATTGACCGATTCGGTTGACCGTAGACTAAAAATACATTAAATAATTCTACATTTTCTGACTCATTTCTGTTTAAATCTAAAGCCGGGTACAAATGTAAGCACCCGGTTCTAGTTTTTGGTGTATGTCCTTGTTATTGGTTGTTTAATAGAAGAACTGTTTTGCAGGCATTAAGATACAAGAAATACATCTGAAAGCGGCTTAAATGGCTTAATTTTGTCAATGTCTTTGCAGACAAACTTTCTGTAAAATCGACAGACCTTCTATCTTTATATCCTGCCATCTATCGTTGACATATTGATTAAAATTAGTAGAAACCATTTCGGCCTATATCAGTGGCAGCTCGTGGTTTTTTGATGGGTGGGCAAAATATTTTTTCTTTCATGTAACTTAATATCATATAGGAATAATTGCACTCTACTGACCTACTAATTTATTTTCTATATCAAAAATTTTTTAAATTTTCTGTTAACAAACGATCTGCAGCTTTTTTCCCCTTGCTTACATAAAAAAATCCCATAAATCTTTCAACTACTTTACCACAGTGAACATATCTAAAAACTACTAATAACTGAGATAAGCATTTAACATCCGTTGTTTCATTTGGGTACTTGCCACGCGAAATATAGAGCATTTCTTATTTTTTAAAATATCACTTCGGATGCTACTCCATTGATGCTCTCTATTAAGTCATTTTGAATAGTTTTTGAAAGGCTGCTGAAAACTAGACTTTTTTCTAAAAACAATTTAAATTTATTGTCGTACCTTGAAACTAAGTTTGCAAGCTCACGAAAATTGCCTTGAGTAATGGAATTATCTGATTCAATATGGTCCTTAAATCTTGTTCTTGTGTAGCTAAGTGAATAATCATATCAATAAAGTGCTTTACAATATCTATTTTCGTCCACGACTTTATTGTGTTTTAAAATATCTCCCGAAATGCGGAATCAAAAAAAGTTGAAGTGAATGTTTTTTTCCTAATAATTTAAATTTTAATGATGAATATGTATACTAATTTGATCGCTCTTGTTTTTTTTAAGGAGTCATTAATATGTTTCAGATCTGAATATCCTAGATAGTTTCACGGTGTTTTACTTTTTTCATTACATAGTAAGCAATTCCTGCAATATAATTTGGTTTTGGTTTAACTGCCTGTTAACCACTCATATTTATTGTACCACTTTTTACTAAATGATCCGTTCCTTCCGTTATTGTTTTTATTTGTTAAATTTTTCATGTCAGGCGTAGGTTTTAATTTTGAAATAAATAATTTATCATCGAAAGTCAACGGACTAAATTTTTTATCTAATAAAAAAATTAACAATACATTAACATTGCTACTCACCAATTCGCGAATTTCACTTGTCATTTTGCTTTACTCCAAACTATTAAACAATAAAAACTTGCCTAAACTACCACTAGAAACCCTAACCACAGCTTCCCTAACCTTGTCTAGGTTAAACATAAACAAACGACAATGACAAATTGCAAGATGATACGTAAGTACTCGAGGAATATACGAGTGAAGCCGAAGGGCTTGCCCGGTGCGTAAGGCAATTTATGTATATTCATATTATAATTTATTAAAAATCTGATTGAAATTCAAAAAATGTATTAAATGAAACAAACGGTTTTTTTATATCTGACCATTTCTTTACTATTTGAAGAAAAAATGAATATTGGATTTAAAAATCCTACAAATTTACGTCCATATTTACAAACTCGAATCTATTAAAACATTGAAAATTTCTCCGCAATCATTCTTAATTCAATTTAACAGCAACGAGTTAAAAAAAACTAATTATAATTATCATTGTCACAATATTCAACATAGCACCGTAGATATTTATTTTTTTACTCGATTTACACATTATTATAAAACGGTTTATTATTTCATTTATTAAAATTTGTAAAATTCATTTAAAGAACAAAATTACAGCAAATAAATATACATATGTGTATTTCCAATCGCTGTCGAAAAGCCTTAGCTGGCCTTAGCCGATACAGCCTTCTACAGGCATATGCGGGCTTGCCCGTCGTGGCGCAAATATTCTGAATTGGTAAACGACTTACGTTTCCGATTACTCTCTAGTCATAGGTAAGGATATTTATAATACATAGGATTGCTCGATAAGCAGATATTTTCTCCACGTTAGTGGGGGCTGTGACGTCATCGCGGACCACTTCAGATAAATCTGCATAGTCGCATACTGTTATAAGATGTTTTATTTACTTTCTATATTTAATATGGGGTTTAAAATAATTTTAACTTAAAATATAAACTTTATATAATCTGCAACGGGTCTCCCGGTAAATAAAATTATAGTCAAGTTATACAAATTTCTATTTTTATTACTATTTTTGATTTTTTCTATTTTATTTCTACAAAAAGTTAATATTGCAAGTTTTTAATTTAGATAAATATGACTGTTTCAAACTTCCACTAAAATATGAAAATTATTATTCTGGTTCATTTGCACTTTCAGAAGTTATATAGAAATACTAATTTTACTGTTATCTTTTCAAATATATGTTTAAAGTTAAGTAATTATTATTTAAATGTGTACTAGTAACTTATTCCATTTATATTTTTAAAAGAACTAAGCACATTAAATATTTTCTAAACTATTGTAGGTATACCTAATAAAAAAAATTGGAAATAGTAGGTGACTGTTTTTTATTAAATAAAAATAAAACGATACAAATGATTAAAACTAGTGTTGTAAAGAAGAGTATGCTCTTAATATGCATTTATGAAAACAATAATTAATAATATATCCTGAACAAATTTCATTCCAAAATAGTAACTATAGAGTTTCATTATAAAAAGTGGTGATATTTGTAACCGCTGGTGGCTGATAACATTTCAGGTATACGTCTAGGGATGACAATTTTTGAAAAATGATCGATGTATGACATCACATCTTTTCGTATAACACAAAATAATATAAGTAGATAACTATTACGAATTTGTGGTATGGATAGAACTTTTGCCTTCTACTCTAAATATTTTTATATTATTCTATTCTATAGCAGAAAATACAATTAAAAAATTTAATACAATTGATTTTAATGAGCGAAGAGTACTGTAGTTATAATATCACAATGATTAGATATCATATTAAAATTACATTACATTAGTTGTACCTGTTGATAAATATAGAATGTATTAGTTTGTCTTCTTATAAGATGGAACCGACTTTATTTTCTTTCAGTGCTACTAATTTTTGCTTATTGAAAATTAAATTTATTTTTATCAACATAATTTTATTATATTACACATTAAATAAAAAGAATGATTATTAATTGATATAAAATCATAAAGGTACACAGCGATCTGAAACGCTGTCGATACATCGATATATCGGTTCTTCCTCTTTTCTTTGTAACTCTTCTTCCATTTCCTTTTTTTATTATATCTTTGTGTCCGTAAACTTGTTACATCCTGTGGTTTGTTTGGAAGAAATAATGATGGCACAGCAGTTGTTTTAAGAAGTTTTCGTGGAGGCAAACCTACAAATTAATATACAGCAATTGTTTACGACAACCTGAACATTGAACAAATAATGTAATTATTACCTAATGTTTTTCCTTGGGAAAATTATGGTAAACTATTTCCGGATTATCCGTTTTCGTTGAAATACGGCTGTTATTAAAGCCATACATAGTAGAACGGCGCCACGGCATCTCATCTATTATGAAAGATTATAGGTTACCACTAAGAATTATATTTGTTTCTTACAACTTACCACATTATTATTACTACAAATAGTGCACAAAGATTCAAAAAAGTTCTACAATTTACACACACTACTGCTAAAAGTTTAAGAAAGAAGATATAACACAAATTTATTAAATGAACGCACAAGCTCCATAAGAATACACAAGCTTCTTACACATCCAGGTCCGCGATGACGTCACGGAAGAGTGGGAAAACGGCCAACATTGAAGGTATAGGGATCGAGCAATCCTATGTATTATAAATATCCTTGGTCATAGGTACGTATAAGTAGGCAAGGGATGGCGTCATTTAGTTCAGCGGCTACGGGCCAGCCCGAATGTAATGTTGGTTGCTGCTGAGATCATGATTAAATTATAATTTTAAAATTTGGTAGCGGAAGTTTCAAAGGAGGTAATGCAGTTTAGATTTAATTTTATAAGAATTAGGTTAAATTACTTTGGTATATGTATACACATTTTTCTTTTATTTTTCTGAAATTATCAGGGGGTGGAAGCCCCCTGCTTAGACCCACTTCAATCGCAATGCTACGGGCTTTTCTCTACGGAAAAAGTGTGAATTTCATCTGCTACCGCATAGTCTATGCATCATCCTTAAGGCTTACCTCGCGGTAATAAAAGTATGCGCCGTCGTGTCCGACAATCAGCTCTCGCGACCATAATAATTCACGGCGGTGTTCCAGTTGCAGCCGGGCGTAAAAATGCAAATGTATGAACAATATCGCATTCCCGAAATGCAGAAATTAGTTCCTGCGAGCGCATTCGAATCACGTCCGAAATGAAATTCCCTTGCTTTTCAAATGCTAATAAGCCTTATACTGTTTTAATACGAGCCCTATTCACGGAACAGAAGCGAAACAATAAAAATATGAAGGCACTTACCACCAACGCTTTTTCTAATATGAGAACGCGATAAATTATAAGCGGTGTTTTGTGTTTTACGTTTTATTTGCTGCATTCTGGAATGAAATTAATAATTTATTGTTGTTGCCTTTGTCACGGAATGTGTAAAAAATATAGGATTTATACAAAGAAATAAGCACTCTTATACAGGGTACCTTTGATTATTTGCAACACAAAGTAAGTTCATCATTAAAATTGTATTCTTTTTAAACTTTTTTTTTTTCGTAATTGTCATACCTATTCGTTGAGCAAGCTATAGTAGGATCATATTCGATGCAAAGTAATAAATCATTGCATGTCAATAGATCCAGTGCAATACGGTTTTAAGGGGTTTAGAAATAATTTCCTTACGCATTATGAAGGGATGAAGGGATCAGTTTACGTCTGGCACCTTTGTTCCTACAAAAATTCTTTTATTCTCATAAACTATTTATTTTAAATGTAATTTATTATAAATCCAATTTGTTTTTTAAATTCCAGGTATGTACTACATTTTACCTCTGTACGCACCACTGTTGTTTACTTATTTTTTGGAGGCGGTCTCTGATTTGTGACCAAGTTCGTCAGGTTAGTATTTGACGTATAACCGACCACTTCGTACACTCGATGCATCTGGGCGACTACAGCTACTACCAGAACACAGTGCGTATGCAGCGGTGTTTCAGATTTTACATTCAATTTCATTTTAAATTTGAAATGTTTCATCTTGTGCCTCCTAAAAATGAGGACACGATTTTCCTTTGATAAAAGACCGACAATTTTTTGCTCTACTTTGCATCGAATACGATCCTACTATAGTGTAACCTGAAACAGTAGCACGCCATTCGCGAAACATACCATAGATACCTTAAAAAGAAATAGGCGACAAATTAAATAAAATCCTTGTTCTAAATGAATATTGTGCAGTAAGTCAGCAGTCATGCGCCGCATATGGTAAATTGTAGTGAAAGTTTTGAAATACAAGGACCGTGTGATAAATTTAACATACGAGAGATGTATGATTAATTATAAAAAAGCTTACAATTCTTCTTGAATAATTTTATAATTTACTAGTCTTTACCTAGACACATGAACGAATAAGATATTCGTTCGTTTTTTTAAGTTTTACTCGAAAATCAGGGTTTTTTTGAAAAACATAAGAGAAAAGTAATTTGTAGAAAATTTAAAAACGAATCCGAAAATATCATGGTTTTTACCGTAAAGCAGTGGCGTTATTTAGAAAAATATGCCACCGATACCATGTATCTCCGCCACTGGAACATGTAAATTTTAGAAAAAGTCCTCATATTTTGGACAATGTTTATTTTATTTATTTATTTATTTATTTATTTATTTATTTAATTACAATATCCAACGAGCAATGCCCAGTTACAGGATAAGGTTACAAACTAAATAATAAAAATAAGTGAAAGAGATAAAACCTATTCTTAACCAAAATAAATATCACAAAACATAATATCTAAAACAAACAGGGAACAGACATATAATATTAAAATGCTATAATACAATACAAACAAATGCAAAAACATATTTATACAAACATAAAGTTCAAAGGAAAACTTTTTTAATTTGAGAAATACTGGAGCAGAGTATATCAATGCGAGATTCAATATTAGAATAACCAACAATCATTTGGTGAACCGGAGACGCTTTATATAAATTAGTACGATGATTCTTGATTCTTACATAAATATATGTAAATATGGTATATAAATATATAATATATATGGTATATATTATATATAAATATATGGTTTACATAAATATATGTACCCAATTTAAAATTATTTCACTTATTTCACTATTTCACTATTAAAAATATTTTTTGAAGTTTAACCCCTGCATCTTTTCAACGAAGCGTCCTAGATAAAAACTTTATAGGAAAGACACTCCTTAAAATTCACCAAAGATTTTGGTCACCATTTGTGAATCACCCTTTATAAGGATAATAATAGTTTTCCAATGTTAGGTTATTACAATTTAGTATTTTTAATATTGTTCACGTTTTCACTATGTTTTATAATTGAATATGAGTTTTTAGTATTATGTCAATTAATTATTCTGTTTGTAGTACGCATACCTAGTGATTTGCAAAGAGTAGTATGGTCGATAGCACTTTGTTAATAAAGTTGGGATCCGCTGTCGTTAATTTTGAAACCAATTGCAAAATTCAAGATGACTGAGGAAATCAGCTGTTTCCCTTCAACGTTCCAATGCTCTGTGGTCCGCCGGCGTATTCCCGATCAGAAAATGTGATGCGAAGTAGGGCACCGAACTAATGGGAGTCAAGGATTAATTTCTTATCATTTAAAAGGTCGAGTAAACGTTTTTTTCGATTTTCTGTCTTTATTAAGCCTTCCGAATACGTAGTTAAAATAACTGACGTTATGATTGAATCTCCCTGTATGTACCGGCGGAAGCGCTTAAATTTTCTTGTTTTTGTTTATTTGTACGGGCATTTCCACAACAAAAAAACATTTATTCTAATGCCCATTTCAGAAACGAAAATGACCGTTCAATATTTACCAAGACCACAGGCGTATATCTAAAATAGTCGAAGAATAGATGCTATTTTTACTAATGGTGGCGAAGCATTAGTTACATGTACATGTTTGCCTCTGATCTGATGCTTCGCATCGATCAATTTATTCGATACGTATCTAGCGCATCCTATTGTCTGACCTTTCGGCCTGGCGTGCCAGTAAACAATCCAGGTTTATTGTTGAAGGACGTTGGTCGTGGATTTCATTGTCGTTTGTGCGTGCGTCAGTGAGTTTTACGCTTTGCTTAGTCGAGTGCATAGCACATGTTTTTATGGCAGTCCATATAATTGTGTACCGTGAGCATAGAGTGGCACACGACTTAACCACATATTTTGCCTATTTCTGCTACTACAACGCGTGTTGCTGCTTACTAGCATAATATAGATTACTACTGTTTATTTATTTGATTGTCGCCACAAAGTTTCCGATGTCTAATAATAACATAATATAACGAGTATCACTGCTTTTCTTTTAGTAACACAGTATTTTTAGCAGTGCTAAAGACTGTTGTCGTCTGTAATATAGTTTATCGATCCGTAGAGTAAATTATAATGTTTTATAAAAAGCAGGGCAAGCGTAACGAAGCGAAGTAAATAACGTGCATGTGCGTATATGCACATTCTACATATTTACATATAACGAGATTCTAAATGCATACTTATATTATAAAAACTGATATCGGACTAATGTGTTTGTTTAAGTAGCACCAAACACATTAAACAGAGTATTTTAAAGTTGTTTTGGAAATAATAACACACCGTTATTTCGAGTCTAAATAAGCTGAGTGTGATTAATGTTATTTTAGGGAGAGGAATATGAAATTGTGTTGGTCAGAACAAAACGAGGGCAAAGCTAACACTTCATTTGAAATTTATGAATATAAAATTAAATTGCTAAATAATAAATAAATGCAGTTACCATACTTCTTCCAGATAGTTTTCAGGAACGTTGAAATTCAATTCAATTAATTCAATTTTTCACAATTTCATCTTTTTGTCAGTAAATTTGATTTCAGAAAACATTATTTGTGTGTCTGATTGATCATTCTTCAGTTCGATATGAGAAAACTTATACTTCAGACAATGTACGGGGTTAGTCACTATAATCTGACAATTTATTATGAGTTTATTATTGAAATCACAAAAGTTTTAGCTTTTTTATGAATTTTTATAATACGGTATTAGAAAAAAGAATTGAATAATGGAAATCACTAAATTAAAGAATATTTTTTTTTAATGTAACCCTATAAGTATATTAGTGCATACTTAGCTTTGTAAAATTTTTCTCTTTTCAAAAATATATAATTATATATATTAATAATTGATTGATTGATTCAGGACTTTCCGACATATTTCAGTTTAAAACTATTTTTGAAAAAAGTGGAGGGAAATTTATGACGGACGGATCGCAGTGGCTATACAAATTTAACGAAGCTAAGTATGCACAAATATATAGGGTGTTCCATTTAAAATTAAATTTTATTTAGTGATTTCCATTATTCAATTAATTGTTTTTTCTACTACTGTTTTATAAAAATTCATAAAAAAGCAAAAACTTTTATATTAAAAACTTTTTTGTATTTCCAATAATAAACTCACAATAAGTTGTCAGATTATAGTGACTAACCCTGTACATTAATTTTCAGAAAACATTATTATATTTTGGAAAGTTTGTTATAATTATTACTTACTATACTAACTAAAAATGAGCGCCCATTTCAAAGTTAATTTTCTCGAGAATGGCTAAACTGATAATGATGAACTTTTTTTTATAATTATAG